GACTAATTTTTTTTTTCAAAATCATCTACATGTTCTCAGAAATACAAATCTGACTTTAGATTTGACATTTGACCTTCAATGACCTTCTCAAAGTCAAAAAAGGTCAAAAAGGTCTTTTTTCAACTTGCTTCAAATTGACTAAATTTTTTTTTCAAAATCATCTACATGTTCTCAGAAATTCAAATCTGACTTTAGATTTGACATTTGACCTTCAATGACCTTCTCAATGTCAAAAAAGGTCAAAAAGGTATTTTTTCATCTTGCTTCAAATTGACTAAATTTTTTTTTCAAAATCATCTACATGTTCTCAGAAATTCAAGTATGACTTTAGATTTGACACTTGACCTTCAATGACCTTCTCAAGGTCAAAAAAGGTCAAAAAGGTCTTTTTCAACTTGCTTCAAATTGACCAAATTTTTTTTTTTCAAAATCATCTACATCTTTTCAGAAGTTCAAATTTGACTTAACAAGTTCTCAGAAGTTCAAATCTGACTTTAGATTTGACCTTCGACCTTCAATGACCTTCTCAAGGTCAAAAGGTATTTTCCAACTTGCTTTAAATTGACTAAATTGTTTTAGGTGGTGACATTTTGTCATGTTAATGCCTTGTTTCAAATGTTTTGCTTTCCTTATACTTCTTTTGTCTTTCTACATTTTACAATTCAAATTCTTCTTAAAAGAAAAAGGTGTTGCTTGTATCATTATGCCATATAAGGAATCACTAGCTCAGATGAAGCACTTTGCACAAGTACAGTATAGGAATGTATGCCACTGCTTTCAAACCATGTACGATGCATTTGACATAATCTGAATATTCTCCTAACATGTTGGATCAATACCAACTGATAATCTGCCAATGCTTGAAAGCTCTCTATGCTCAAAAACAATTCTATCAGCATCTCTTTGAAAAGAAAGAGTTTGAATTTCTCATATTTTTTATCCAAATTGATGTGTTTACTACATGCCTGTGTATTTTATTCATTGAGAATTCTTATCTTTACTAGCATATTTTAACCTTTAAAACACATTTTGAGAATATGTCGTCAGCCTGCCTGTATAACATGTTTGGTATTCTCTATTTGAATTAAATTCTTTAACTGAAATTAAATTTTTAATTTGATTAAATTCAACAAATTGAGATTAAAGTGGTTATATACCCAGAGGTTAAAAATTATTGAGTGTATTTAATCTTATATTATTAAACCATTTGTTTTCCTTAAAGTCCCCATCTAAAGTTTAAACCACTTTGGCTTATATTGTAGTCTTGCCCAATGTTATCAAAGTGTGATATGTGAAACTTTTTTTTTAAATTTCAAAAAGTGGTTTTTGATAGATTTTTTGTTCCAAAATTTGTGAATTTATTTAAAACTAACTTTTAGAGGTCACACATATCTTTTCATTAGCCACAATTCATACCAATGCATAGCATTCATCCTCGCATGTTTTTTGCTGAAAAAATTAAGAAAATCGGTTTATAAATAAGCGAGAAATGAACTCATCAGTGCATGAAAATTGTTGCGAGAAAAATGCATTTCAAAATTTTAGTTCAATGGTACAATGATATCTAAAACATAATATATTCTTCCTTTTAAAAACTTTTTTTTCAAAAATCTCTAAAATAACTTTTTAAGTAATGACAAATAGTAAATGAATGATAAAAAAATATTTTTCAAACTTTAGATGGGGACTTTAATCAAGCAAAAAGGTTAGTTGAACCCATTTCATTGTTTATTATTTTATTAAAAAGGCCCTCAATTTTTGTGTTTGAATTTTCATTTTCTAAATGATAATTCTCCATGAATAAGCTGGTTTTTGCCACCTGAATCCATCTTTATAGAAAGGTGAGCATGAGACTATTTTCTTTAGACATATTGCTTGAAATCTCTAACTTCTAAAGTGCTGAAAGTACCTTTAAGAAAAATTGAAGAAAATAAGAATCATAGGTAACTGACTACAAAAATATATTTTTAAACTTTTTGCATGTTTTCATTTATTATCTTGTTAATTATGTATTAAAATGCAATGAAAATATATTGAATATGTCATTACTGGTATAGTTCTTTGAATCCATCCTAACAGTGTATTTCTATCGAAGATGTATTTTGCAATGATTTTTGATATCACAAAATACATGTCCTCAGGCTGAACATTTATTGTTCAGTTTACGTCATCATCAATTTGAGTTAAGTGTCATAGTTGACAAAGTGTTTGGCATTGAAATTCAATATGCTCTAGTTAATGTCATCACAGTGGTTGATAAACTGAAATTAGTCACAAGAAATAAAACAGGCTACAATGATATGAAAAACCAATGTTGTCATGGAATACATATTTTACTTACAATAAAGTTTAATTCCATCTAAAACTTTCCCTTTAATGATCAGATGTAGAATCTCATTTCAACTACATACAGCATTTATTTCATTGCAGCTTTGTATGTGTAGTTTATTAAGATCAGAATAATAAAATATGTTTAATGACAAATGTGGAAATTGTAATCCAGTCTTGTATTTATTTAATGTCTTATTAAAATAGATAGAATAAATGGAAATATCATTTGCTAGATTGTTATGCGTCAGTTGCTCCATGTTCCATGTCAAGAAAAAGTGTCTCATAATTTATTTTTTAAAGTACATCCATGTTCATGCTTTGTTACATAAGTGATAAGTATGACATGGTGGCAGAAACATGGGGCAGATAACAATTATTAGGTGGATAATGAGATAAAGGCTTATTCTTTAGGTCAACTTAATGCTTTATTACTTCAGCCTTTCCAGTAGTTTGATTTCACCTCTCTAAAAGAGAGCTTCATTTGCATTCTTTGAGCTGAGATAATCATTTGATTTTCCCTTAACCTAACAGAATACTAGGAATATGGTAAATAAGGATCCAAATACCCAATCAAAATGGTATTCAATGAATTTTATGATTATCCAGTCGAACAAAGTCCAGGGGGATATAGAGAACCACTCTATCTGTACATCCATCCGCTGGGTAATAGCTCAAATAGTGTTGGACCAATATTGTTTATATTTTATATGTATAGGCGTACAAGTCACTTGTCCGGCCTAATTTAGAGTATGCCAGCTCGGCATGGGATCCATACCGACAAAAGGATATTGATATGTTGGAACAGGTACAAAGAAGAGCAGCTAGGTTTGTAACCAAATGTCACTCGAGGGAACCAGGCTGCATCACCAAAGCTCTTCAAGACCTACAGTGGGAGCCACTGAAGGAGCGTCGAGAGGCTGCTAGAGTTTTCCTCTTCTACAAAGGAAAGCAGAACCTAGCAGCCATCCACGTGCCTCCATACTTCCGCCAACAGATCAATACCAACACTAGGTCGTATCATCCTTCTAAGTTCATACAACCATCAACTAGAACGGATGCATACAAATTTAGCTATTTGGAACACTCTACCTGGTGACATCTTAGACTGTGACAGTCTAAGTAGTTTTAAATCATCATACTATGCCTATGTCAATAACTGCAATTAAATAGGTGTGTTTTTAATATAGATCTATGTTTTAATGTAAAGGGTCCCCAGTGCACACGTCAAGCCTGCACTACTGGTAAAGAGGGGTGATGTCAACGCGGTAGCCTGACAGTCGCCCCAGGGTATTTCAACATAGTTGTAAACCATAGATCTATTTTTAAATGTTAAGGTTTTAAATTATATTCTATTCAAATTCTATCACTGTTAAATTATATATCTGCTTTATATGGGCTTATTAGCCTTTTGCAGATTATTGACATAGACATAGACATATGCCCCATGGGAGTGCAAGTTCTGCTCGAAAGCGGATTTCCAAAATGGCTATTAGTTTCAAAATGGTTGCCATTTTAGTGTTAATTTTATAGTATTTTAGGTACAACTGTAATATTGATATGTTTCAAATGCAAAAAATAATATAGGATATTGATTAAATTAAAAATCTAAACATTCAAGAAATATTCCAATCCGCGAATGCTAGCTTTTAATTCTCTATCCAATGTGTTCTCACACATTCCACTTCTGTCATTAACTTGAAAACAAGTTCCAACATCATTTTAACTTTATTTATACGAACAAATTATTTCTACATCAGTCAAAACATATTAAACCTGTGGCATATACCTGTGGTAATACATGCATATGCATTTTTGTGTCACTTGTGTGGTCTAATCTGTAATCACCTTGAAATGATTATAAGAAATTGTTGAAATTGGCTGCAGCAATCAAAGTGATTTGTCTTTGTCTCACTTCCCTCTTTGGTCCCTAGAGATTATTGCAAGACTCTTTCAGTGGAATTGCATTCAAACTTATTTCTTGATTGGCAGTATTATTGTACAATGTGTAACATTGTGAAATAAATACTTATTTGGGTGTCCTGTGATGAGGTACAGATTGATTCAATAATGCTAAAAGAATATAGATACAAATATTTGAAGATAGAGATCGTAGTGTAATTACAGACTCTGTGTTGTCAAGGAATATTATTTGCACCATCAAGGTTAATTATTATTAAAATTCAATGATATGATGAAATATATTTGGGTTTATTAGGGTGACATGAATGGTGCACAACGACTTGTCACAATTGCTGTAAAAAATATTTCAAAGCTATTCACCCAATGGTGCAAATGCATCTAGTAATTAGTAAATGAACCTTAAATAGACTAGAAATATATTGCTTTGAAGATATTAGTCTATGATTGTATGGAAATGTTAGGAAGACAGGTGTTAATGTGTTAAGCAACAGGCAAATGTGATTGAATATATACAGATAGAAAATCAATTGCCGCTGCAGCTGAGGGTGCAAATTGCTAATAGGAAAGGATATAACATGATATTTGGAAGATGCACAGTGAATTGTTTCCATGTAACAAACATAAGCGATCAGTGGTATTGTGATACCAAATGATAAGAGAGCAGTATTGTGATATCATATGATAAGCCAGCGGTGGTTTTGTGATACCAAATGATGATAAGCTAGCAGTGGTATTGTGATACCAAATGGTGATAACATAGTAATGGTATTGTGATACCAAATTATAAGTGATGATAAGCTAGCAGTGGTATTGTGATACCAAATGATGATAACCTAGCAATGGTATTGTGATACCAAATGATAAGCTAGCAGTGGTATTGTGATACTATATGATAAGAGAGAAGTAGTATTGTGATACCAAATGATAAGAGAGCAGTGGTATTGTGATACCAAATGATAAGAGAGCAGTGGTATTGTGATACCAAATGATAAGCTAGCAGTGGTATTGTGATACCATATGATAAGCTAGCAGTGGTATTGTGATACCATATGATGAATGCATCTGGATGCTATATTAAACTTTCTCACAACTGACACACCATCCTCGTTGATTGTTGCATATTTAAGTCAGTTAATAAGTTGGAAATTCACAAGGAGGAATGCTCAATGGCAAGATAAGTTGCAAATACAAATTGGATTGTTATACTTCAGTATAATACAACAGCCTGCAGCTTTATGAAGATAATTGCAAATGATATTGTTGCAAAATTGAAACTTCATCAAAATGCCAGCAATACAAGCTGACATAGACATGAAGTGTGGGGATAGACTTATTAAGAAGACAGCCCGGAGGTACACATTACCTGGTAGTCTCGTCCAGTTTGACTACAAAGGGGCACCACTGAATGTCAATAAAAATAAAAGCCGCTGGATTACAGTTGCAAGTAAATGGGTGCGTATCACCCGGAGGGGACTCGAAAGGCAACATGGTGGTTTCAATAGACATTCACACCATTTTGCGAACAAGTCACAAAGTTTGACACAACTTGATGATCTCCTGAGGGATAACTTTTTTAAGCCTGATTTTATAAAGCCCGAGGTAAGCATCAGGTGTTTTGAAATGGCCAACTCTTGCACACCTTGCAAGATGAACACTTTAAAGTATATTTTTTGAAAATTACCATTTGTACAGTTCATTACTTTTCAAAATTCAAGATAGCCTATGAACCTAAGACAGTATATTATGTTATAGACTATTTAACAGATCTTTCTGTTTTATGTCACCACCAAAGAGCTGACATATTATTATACGTTTCCAACTGTTTTGTGGACGGCAGTCAGTATCAGCGGTTGTTGTTTGGCATTCAGCATCTGAAACAAATGGCAGGTAGTGACATCTTGCATGTCAATGCTTTGTATAAATTGACCTTACACTTATCTGATCAACCAGTGATTTGATATGGTATGGGCCTGAAGGGTGTTGACATTGACAGAGAGATGAAGGGGACCCATCATATTAAGTGACAACCAGGGGTAAGGGTATGAGACATACTTGACAAAATGACAGGTCGATGGCATCCATTATTCAGGTACTCCATGTATAACAATGCAACATGTTAAGAAACATAAATTAAGAGTGTTTGATGTGGAAATATTTCAGGAATTGAGTCAATAATTAACCAAATTAATAATTAAGATAACTGCAGTGTGTTTAATTATTCCTAATGTGCTCTATTGATGTGTGATCTATTTCTAGGCTGTCACAGCATTGCATTGTATGGGAAAATGTATAAATTGTAGAATATAAATTATAGTAGGATTAGAATATAGGAAATAATGAGGAAAAAATAATCAATAAGTCAGTGAGGGGTTCTGTATATTTTTTTCAACTTTTTCCAAATTTTCAAATTTAATAATTGAGTTGTTATTTTTGCTTTTTTCTCCTCATAATATAATGCCTTCTCTTATACACACATGATATTATACAAATACTGGATGAATACATATTCAAGAATAAAGATATTGGGCAATGGGTAGTAAAAGCAAATGATGTGATGGGCATCAGAATTCTCATTTCATATAATCAAGCCATTTCCTCCTCTTTATCTTATATTAGTTAGCCTGCATTTATATGGTTACTAATGAATAGAAGCTTTTTCTCATAAACATATAATAAACTAGATGTTGGACTTTTTATTCAATATTCAACATTACATTTTCTTTCTAATAAAAATCTCTCTTCAATTATTTCTTCCTAATGAGTAGACATATGCAGTATTAATGTATTTGAAGAAACCTAGATCTTAGCTCTTGCATTTATTAAGCTAATAAAAGAATGCAGATGAGACTTGGGGCATTTTCATTATATTTTCTCAATGAACAGTTTTCTCGAGCAGCATTTTTGATTGCTTAAAAAACTTTATACTTGTATCAAGCACATTTAAATATAAAGAAAGGCTTTTAATGAGTTAAGTAAGTTTATAGAAATGCCACAGCTTTGCAATATTTTTGCTCTCATTATTCCATGTTGTATACCTGTTATCTAAAGAATCCAACACTTCTGATTTAAGGATAATCCTTCAATTTTTAATTTATCAGACAAAATTGAAAATATATATACTCCTTTTTCATTTTGATGAATTGGGATATTTCTGCATCTTTCATGTTCAATAATTTCTACCTTGGTCAGATATCTTAATTATCATTTCAGCAAATCAAACTTGGATTGTGTAGGGAAACAATGGTATGCTATTGAAAAGATCACTTTCAACATCTGAACATGTCATACTCTTTATCTCATTTACTTCCTTCAAATCTTTCATTAAATCTTATGAATATACAGTACTTGAATGGTGGGGGGGGTATTAGGGTATTAGACACTGTTTTTTTTTCATGTTGGATTATGATTTGGGACCATTATCCAGCAGCATTATCCTTGAAACCAATGATATCTCCTTCCTTCTTATCTCAGAACAGGAGGTGATGTATAATATTAGCTTTTTATTTTGTGATTGCAAAACAAAAGATGAAAAAATAAATGGCCATATCACAAACTGTACTACTCAGTGCATTATGTGTTTATGTGTATCAGGGATACTCCCCACTCATTTTGGGTATTTATTATTGAATTATGCCATATGAGAATATTAGAATAAATATTCAAGTACCAGAATTGAGAGTTACATATTTATTATTATTTGAGGTAGATGCTTTGGCCTGTTTACTCTAGTATGTTCTGTATGGATCATTTACTATGTTAAGATCTTTTATGAATGACAATTTGGCATTTAGTAATTTTATTATCCATTCATATGTAAAGTATATGTAATTTTGAATGGTAAAGATTGCAAGTTTTCACTTTTGAATCACACAGAGGTTTGGTTATTTCGCATTTCTTTGACATCATTCCCATCACTTGAGGGAATAAGGTTTGCCTGGTGGTGCTTTGCCTGATTGATGTTCACTCATTATTAATACTTCATAGAGGGGACCTGTCTGCACATGTGGATAAATGAACTTATTCTAAATCAAGTCACGCATTTGAGACTTTTTGGAGTCATATTTTATCAATCATAATACATTTGTCTTGCATTTGTCATGGGCAGACAATGTTACTAAAGTTCTCTCAGATCATTATAATTCCAATCCATTTCTCTCTCAAATTTGAATTTGAGATCTACTTTTATAATTATTATTGGATTTCTAAATAATTTTACTTGTTTCACTCTACCTCTCTTTTAAGATAAGTATGGATATTTTCACTCATGTTCCACGTTAATCTATCTATAGTCCTAAATCAAAGCATGGCGGCAATTAATTTAATGTTAGACATTTCTAGTGTAGAAAATGTCCCTTGTGCTTCATCTGGTGTGTTCGAGCGTTAGCATCAGCTGCCTCTAGTTAGATCAACTGACAAAACAACCTTTTTTGGGGTTGTCGAGTTGGCCAATAGGGCTTGAGCGCCGGCATGTTCGAGCTAGGCGATTGGGCGCCGTAACCACGAGGTTGCAAGTTCGAGACGCGTGTGCTCCTTATGTTTATTCATCTAGTACATACGATCAAGGCATCATCAAATAGTACCTTGAAATGGTATAATTTTTTGGAGGGAGTGTCACATGTCATATTGAAATCAAAAATATTTCTGGCACCCCAACCCCAAAAAGCGTTTAATAACTCAAAATAAATAACTTGAAATAAGAAGAAAGTATCTTGAGGAATGGGGTACCTCTGCCTCATTGCTCTCCCAAAAACACGGGGTACCATCGAATAATTTTGGCAACGTACCGGAGAACGACATTTTACTAAGAAATGGCAATAATTTAGCACAATATATTTTTTAAATAGAGTTCTACTTTGATTTTGACAAAAGTAAGTATTCAATGCAATGGCTATTTCATTCATGAGTTTGTAGGAATTCTGTTTGAACCCAGTTCTGATCAAGTACGAAGTTATTGAAATCGGCGCAGTCGGACTTTACTCCGAAAGATGGTTTTTCGATTATAACTTTTTACAACATTTAAGTATAGACTTTTGAAAAAAGTACAGAATAGTCCTTATACTTTTGAATAATTCTGTTATTTCTGATTCACACGACTCTGATTTGTTTAATTTAAAAAAAAGTTTTAAAAATATTACTTAGGAACGTAACCGGAGCTGGGAACGTAACCGGAGCAGATCAGTTGAATTATATAATTTAAAAAAATAAAATATATGATTTAAAGCATATATATTAATAAATACGCATTCGAACAATCCCGTATGTTTTTAAATTAGTATATGTGCTATAAATCAAAAATTCTTTTGACTGACTGAAAATGCAAAAAGTCACTGAATAGCATCTTGAGGTGGTAAAAGTTTATGCTGGGGCCCCTCTCTAATGTTTTTTTCCAAATATCATTATTGTCTGCTGTCACTCTAATATTACTGAACCTTGTTTATTAGTGAACCTTGTAACATATAATCAGAATTATGAAATAAATGATTAAATTGAAATTGAATTGACATATAACATGAAATACATACTGTACATCATGCTATTAAAGGAAAATGAATGTTCAGTATTGACTATTCAACAATATAGAGCTATAACTAACTACCATCTATTTCTTATCGTTCCCCGCACTTACTCTTACAAACTGCTGAGAATGACTACTTTTAGTTCCATGCTACCCTTTGTTCTATTGGTTACTCCTTTACTCTCAGCAACTTAACTCTTGTCCTATTTCAGCAACTGCTAACAAAATGATCAGAAAATTGTTTTCAATCTCATTCATACTTCAAAAGGATAGAAAATATGATTATCTTTAAGACTGGTTACATACGTCTTTTTCTGGGGCATACAGTTATGAAATGTGTGATGTCGCTGAGGTTAGATTTGTAGTGTATTAATAATTTAGTAATGATTTACTTTCATCAGTTTCCATTGTATGTTTAAAGTTAGGAATATTGAACAAATATTTCACTCTATTGAGGTGAATACCTGTACATCTTTCACAAGTGATATTCCACGAAGTCCGAAGGGCAAGTGGAATATCACCTTGTGAAAGTGCTACAGGTATTCACCGAAATCGTATTATATCATATTATATCGCTGTCTAGCTAAACATCCCTAATATTATTAAGTCATTAAGTCTTCAGATATTTTTACGAATCTACTCGGTTCGTTTGCCATTTTGACTTATACTGAACTAAATTATTTACACTGAACGAAAACAAATTCTTTGAAAATTCCCGGGAGCGTGGGATATCGCTAGATATCTCACGGTTGTCTTATCTGATTAGCATTGCCATTGAATATCGCCAAATATCCCACGACATGTAGTTTGTGATCAGTTCATGTGGTGAATACCATAGTATCACTATTGTCTGATGTCACTCTAATATCACTATTGTCTGATGTCACTATTGTCTGCCATTTCTGTTAAGTCATTTGTTTGTCCTTTCAGAAGAATTTTGAAGATTTTGTTCCCTGTATTTCACTTATTTTCTTCAAACGTTTACATAACAATATATTTCCATTATCATTCTTTTATCTCAAATCCCATATCTAATAAAATGTGAATGATTAATATAAATAGAACCTTAGTGCTTATAAACTTCACAAAATGTAATATTTCTGATGTGTATCTGGATTTCTTAAGTTATTGGTTTTGAATATATGAAATTAGAGAACGGTTACTCAGAGAACTTGGTTCAGTAATGATGATCATTTTGACTCTTGCCATGTTCCATTCTTGACTTGCTATATTTGCCTACTCCACCTCAATCATTGCATTTTAGAATGAAA